AGAGAGCACCTCGATAGCTCAGTTGGTAGAGCAGAGGACTGTAGGAAGTGCTGTGATCCAAAGGTCGCTGGTTCAACTCCCCGCTTGTCCATGTCTTCATCTGTGAACACCTCCAAAATGTCAAAACACAAACAAGAGAACTCCTCCTTAATTTTCCAACCATCAATTTTTTATTCACCCAATGTAAAGTCCTGACTATCAGTTCTGGGTTCTTGGCAATGACTGTCGGGTACAAACTGTGAAGCTCTGTTCTGAAGGTAGGACTGGGCTTTTGATTGGCCATGTCAATCAAAAGCCAAGCCTAAAAGTCCTGATTATCAGTTCTGGGTCCCTGGTAATGACTGTTGGGTACAAACTGCGAAGCTTTGTTCTGCAGGTAGGGCTGGGCTTTTCATTGACCATGTGGATCAAATAGTTGTGTGGGCAAAGTGTGTCATCTCAGCCACTATGTTTTCTGCACTTGTGAGTAGAGAGCACCTCGATAGCTCAGTTGGTAGAGCAGAGGACTCTAGGAAGTGCTGTGATCCAAAGGTCGCTGGTTCAACTCCCTGCTTGTCCATGTCTTCATCTGTGAACACCTCCAAAATGTCAAAACACAAACAAGAGAACTCCTCCTTAATTTTCCAACCATCAATTTTTTATTCACCCAGCCTTAAAGTCCTGACTATCAGTTCTGGGTCCTTGGCAATGACTGTCGGGTACAAACTGTGAAGCTCTGTTCTGAAGGTAGGACTGGGCTTTTGATTAGCCATGTCAATAAAAAGCCAAGCCTAAAAGTCCTGATTATCAGTTCTGGGTCCCTGGCAATGACTGTTGGGTACAAACTGCGAAGCTTTATTCTGCAGGTAGGGCTGAGCTTTTCATTGACCATGTGGATCAAATAGTTGTGTGGGCATAGTGTGTCGTCTCAGCCACTATGTTTTCTGCACTTGTGAGTGTAGAGCACCTCGATAGCTCAGTTGGTAGAGCAGAGGACTGTAGGAAGTGCTGTGATCCAAAGGCCGCTGGTTCAACTCCCCGCTTGTCTTCATCTGTGAACACCTCCAAAATGTCAAAACACAAACAAGAGAACTCCTCCTTAATTTTCCAACCATCAATTTTTTATTCACCCAGCCTTAAAGTCCTGACTATCAGTTCTGGGTCCTTGGCAATGACTGTCGGGTACAAACTGTGAAGCTCTTTTCTGAAGGTAGGACTGGGCTTTTGATTAGCCATGTCATTAAAAAGCCAAGTTTAAAAGTCCTGATTATCAGTTCTGGGTCCCTGGCAATGACTGTTGGGTACAAACTGCGAAGCTTTGTTCTGCAGGTAGGGCTGGGCTTTTCATTGACCATGTGGATCAAATAGTTGTGTGGGCAAAGTGTGTCGTCTCAGCCACTATGTTTTCTGCACTTGCGAGTAGAGAGCACCTCGATAGCTCAGTTTGTAGAGCAGAGGACTTTAGGAAGTTCCTCACATGAAGTGCTGTGATCCAAAGGTCGCTGGTTCAACTCCCCGCTTGTCTTCATCTGTGAACACCTCCAAAATGTCAAAACACAAACAAGAGAACTCCTCCTTAATTTTCCAACCATCAATTTTTTATTCACCCAGCCTTAAAGTCCTGACTATCAGTTCTGGGTCCTTGGCAATTACTGTTGGGTACAAACTGTGAAGCTCTGTCCTGAAGGTAGGACTGGGCTTTTGATTGGCCATGTCAATCAAAATCCAAGCCTAAAAGTCCTGATTATCAGTTCTGGGTCCCTGGTAATGACTGTTGGGTACAAACTGCGAAGCTTTGTTCTGGAGGTAGGGCTAGGCTTTTCATTGACCATGTGGATCAAATAGTTGTGTGGGCAAAGTGTGTCGTCTCAGCCACTATGTTTTCTGCACTTGCGAGTAGAGAGCACCTCGATAGCTCAGTTGGTAGAGCAGAGGACTGTAGGAAGTGCTGTGATCCAAAGGTCGCTGGTTCAACTCCCCGCTTGTCCATGTCTTCATCTGTGAACACCTCCAAAATGTCAAAACACAAACAACAGAACTCCTCCTTAATTTTCCAACCATCAATTTTTTATTCACTCAATTTAAAGTCCTGACTATCAGTTCTGGGTCCTTGGCAATGACTGTCGGGTACAAACTGTGAAGCTCTGTTCTGAAGGTAGGACTGGGCTTTTGATTAGCCATGTCAATAAAAAGCCAAGCCTAAAAGTCCTGATTATCAGTTCTGGGTCCCTGGCAATGACTGTTGGGTACAAACTGCGAAGCTTTGTTCTGCAGGTAGGGCTGGGCTTTTCATTGACCATGTGGATCAAATAGTTGTGTGGGCAAAGTATGTCGTCTCAGCCACTATGTTTTCTGCACTTGTGAGTAGACAGCACCTCGATAGCTCAGTTGGTAGAGCAGAGGACTGTAGGAAGTTCCTCACATGAAGTGCTGTCATCCAAAGGTCGCTGTTTCAACTCCCAGCTTGTCCTTGTTTTCATCTGTGAACACCTCCAAAATGTCAAAACACAAACAAGAGAACTCCTCCTTAATTTTCCAACCATCAATTTTTTATTCACCCAGTCTTAAAGTCCTGACTATCAGTTCTGGGTCCTTGGCAATGACTGTCGGGTACAAACTGTGAAGCTCTGTTCTGAAGGTAGGACTGGGCTTTTGATTAGCCATGTCAATAAAAAGCCAAGCATAAAAGTCCTGATTATCAGTTCTGGGTCCCTGGCAATGACTGTTGGGTACAAACTGCGAAGCTTTGTTCTGCAGGTAGGGCTGGGCTTTTCATTGACCATGTGGATCAAATAGTTGTGTGGGCAAAGTATGTCGTCTCAGCCACTATGTTTTCTGCACTTGTGAGTAGACAGCACCTCGATAGCTCAGTTGGTAGAGCACAGGACTGTAGGAAGTTCCTCACATGAAGTGCTGTCATCCAAAGGTCGCTGGTTCAACTCCCCGCTTGTCTTCATCTGTGAACACCTCCAAAATGTCAAAACACAAACAAGAGAACTCCTCCTTAATTTTCCAACCATCAATTAAAGTCCTGACTATCAGTTCTGGGTCCCTGGTAATGACTGTTGGTTACAAACTGCGAAGCTTTGTTCTGCAGGTACGGCCGGGCTTTTCATTGACCATGTGGATCAAATAGTTGTGTGGGCAAAGTGTGTCGTCTCAGCCACTATGTTTTCTGCACTTGTGAGTGGAGAGCACCTCGATAGCTCAGTTGGTAGAGCAGAGGACTGTAGGAAGTGCTGTGATCCAAAGGTCGCTGGTTCAACTCCCCGCTTGTCCATGTCTTCATCTGTGAACACCTCCAAAATGTCAAAACACAAACAAGAGAACTCCTCCTTAATTTTCCAACCATCAATTTTTTATTCACCCAGCCTTAAAGTCCTGACTATCAGTTCTGGGTCCTTGGCAATGACTGTCGGGTACAAACTGTGAAGCTCTGTTCTGAAGGTAGGACTGGGCTTTTGATTGGCCATGTCAATCAAAAGCCAAGCCTAAAAGTCCTGATTATCAGTTCTGGGTCCCTGGTAATGACTGTTGGGTACAAACTGCGAAGCTTTGTTCTGCAGGTAGGGCTGGGCTTTTCATTGACCATGTGGATCAAATAGTTGTGTGGGCAAAGTGTGTCGTCTCAGCCACTATGTTTTCTGCACTTATTAGTAGAGAGCACCTCGATAGCTCAGTTGGTAGAGCAGAGGGCTGTAGGAAGTTTCTCACATGAAGTGCTGTGATCCAAAGGTCGCTGGTTCAACTCCCTGCTTTTCCTTGTCTTCATCTGTGAACACCTCCAAATTGTCAAAACACAAACAAGAGAACTCCTCCTTAATTTTCCAACCATCAATTTTTTATTCACTCAGCCTTAAAGTCCTGACTATCAGTTCTGGGTCCTTGGCAATGACTGTCGGATACAAACTGTGAAGCTCTGTTCTGAAGGTAGGACTGGGCTTTTGATTGGCCATGTCAATCAAAAGCCAAGCCTAAAAGTCCTGATTATCAGTTCTGGGTCCCTGGCAATGACTGTTGGGTACAAACTGCGAAGCTTTATTCTGCAGGTAGGGCTGGGCTTTTCATTGACCATGTGGATCAAATAGTTGTGTGGGCAAAGTGTGTCGTCTCAGCCACTATGTTTTCTGCACTTGTGAGTAGAGAGCACCTCGATAGCTCAGTTGGTAGAGCAGAGGACTGTAGGAAGTCCTGTGATCCAAAGGTCGCTGGTTCAACTCCCCGCTTGTCCATGTCTTCATCTGTGAACACCTCCAAAATGTCAAAACACAAACAAGAGAACTCCTCCTTAATTTTCCAACCATCAATTTTTTATTCACCCAATGTAAAGTCCTGACTATCAGTTCTGGGTCCTTGGCAATGACTGTCGGGTACAAACTGTGAAGCTCTGTTCTGAAGGTAGGACTGGGCTTTTGATTAGCCATGTCATTAAAAAGCCAAGCCTAAAAGTCCTGATTATCAGTTCTGGGTCCCTGGCAATGACTGTTGGGTACAAACTGCGAAGCTTTGTTCTGCAGGTAGGGCTGGGCTTTTCATTGACCATGTGGATCAAATAGTTGTGTGGGCAAAGTATGTCGTCTCAGCCACTATGTTTTTTGCACTTGTGAGTAGACAGCACCTCGATAGCTCAGTTGGTAGAGCAGAGGACTGTAGGAAGTTTCTCACATGAAGTGCTGTCATCCAAAGGTCGCTGGTTCAACTCCCCGCTTGTCTTCATCTGTGAACACCTCCAAAATGTCAAAACACAAACAAGAGAACTCCTCCTTAATTTTCCAACCATCAATTTTTTATTCACCCAGCCTTAAAGTCCTGACTATCAGTTCTGGGTCCTTGGTAATGACTGTTGGATACAAACTGTGAAGCTCTGTCCTGAAGGTAGGACTGGGCTTTTGATTAGCCATGTCAATCAAAATCCAAGCCTAAAAGTCCTGATTATCAGTTCTGGGTCCCTGGCAATGACTGTTGGGTACAAACTGCGAAGCTTTATTCTGCAGGTAGGGCTGGGCTTTTCATTGACCATGTGGATCAAATAGTTGTGTGGGCAAAGTGTGTCGTCTCAGCCACTATGTTTTCTGCACTTGTGAGTAGAGAGGACCTCGATAGCTCAGTTGGTAGAGCAGAGGACTTTAGGAAGTTCCTCACATGAAGTGCTTTGATCCAAAGGTCGCTGGTTCAACTCCCCATTTGTCCTTGTCTTCATCTGTGAACACCTCCAAAATGTCAAAACACAAACAAGAGAACTCCTCCTTAATTTTCCAACCATCAATTTTTTATTCACCCAGCCTTAAAGTCCTGACTATCAGTTCTGGGTCCTTGGCAATGACTGTCGGATACAAACTGTGAAGCTCTGTTCTGAAGGTAGGACTGGGCTTTTGATTGGCCATGTCAATCAAAAGCCAAGCCTAAAAGTCCTGATAATCATTTCTGGGTCCCTGGTAATGACTGTTGGGTACAAACTGCGAAGCTTTGTTCTGCAGGTAGGGCTGGGCTTTTCATTGACCATGTGGTTCAAATAGTTGTGTGGGCAAAGTGTGTCGTCTCAGCCACTATGTTTTCTGCACTTGTGAGTAGAGAGCACCTCGATAGCTCAGTTGGTAGAGCAGAGGACTGTAGGAAGTGCTGTGATCCAAAGGTCGCTGGTTCAACTCCCCGCTTGTCCATGTCTTCATCTCTGAACACCTCCAAAATGTCAAAACACAAACAAGAGAACTCCTCCTTAATTTTCCAACCATCAATTTTTTATTCACCCAATTTAAAGTCCTGACTATCAGTTCTGGGTCCTTGGCAATGACTGTCGGGTACAAACTGTGAAGCTCTGTTCTGAAGGTAGGACTGGGCTTTTGATTAGCCATGTCAATAAAAAGCCAAGCCTAAAAGTCCTGATTATCAGTTCTGGGTCCCTGGCAATGACTGTTGGGTACAAACTGCGAAGCTTTATTCTGCAGGTAGGGCTGAGCTTTTCATTGACCATGTGGATCAAATAGTTGTGTGGGCAAAGTGTGTCGTCTCAGCCACTATGTTTTCTGCACTTGTGAGTAGAGAGCACCTCGATAGCTCAGTTGGTAGAGCAGCGGACTGTAGCAAGTTCCTCACATGAAGTGCTGTGATCCAAAGGTCGCTGGTTCAACTCCCCATTTGTCCTTGTCTTCATCTGTGAACACCTCCAAAATGTCAAAACACAAACAAGAGAACTCCTCCTTAATTTTCCAACCATCAATTTTTTATTCACCCAGCCTTAAAGTCCTGACTATCAGTTCTGGGTCCTTGGCAATGACTGTCGGGTACAAACTGTGAGGCTCTGTTCTGAAGGTAGGACTGGGCTTTTGATTGGCCATGTCAATCAAAAGCCAAGCCTAAAAGTCCTGATAATCATTTCTGGGTCCCTGGCAATGACTGTTGGGTACAAACTGCGAAGCTTTATTCTGCAGGTAGGGCTGGGCTTTTCATTGACCATGTGGATCAAATTGTTGTGTGGGCAAAGTGTGTCGTCTCAGCCACTATGTTTTCTGCACTTGTGAGTAGAGAGCACCTCGATAGCTCAGTTGGTAGAGCAGAGGACTGTAGGAAGTGCTGTGATCCAAAGGTCGCTGGTTCAACTCCCCGCTTGTCCATGTCTTCATCTGTGAACACCTCCAAAATGTCAAAACACAAACAAGAGAACTCCTCCTTAATTTTCCAACCATCAATTTTTTATTCACTCAGCCTTAAAGTCCTGACTATCAGTTCTGGGTCCTTGGCAATGACTGTCGGGTACAAACTGTGAAGCTCTGTTCTGAAGGTAGGACTGGGCTTTTGATTAGCCATGTCAATAAAAAGCCAAGCCTAAAAGTCCTGATTATCAGTTCTGGGTCCCTGGCAATGACTGTTGGGTACAAACTGCGAAGCTTTGTTCTGCAGGTAGGGCTGGGCTTTTCATTAACCATGTGGATCAAATAGTTGTGTGGGCAAAGTATGTCGTCTCAGCCACTATGTTTTCTGCACTTGTGAGTAGAGAGCACCTCGATAGCTCAGTTGGTAGAGCAGAGGACTGTAGGAAGTTCCTCACATGAAGTGCTGTCATCCAAAGGTCGCTGGTTCAACTCCCCGCTTGTCTTCATCTGTGAACACCTCCAAAATGTCAAAACACAAACAAGAGAACTCCTCCTTAATTTTCCAACCATCAATTTTTTATTCACCCAGCCTTAAAGTCCTGACTATCAGTTCTGGGTCCTTGGCAATGACTGTTGGGTACAAACTGTGAAGCTCTGTCCTGAAGGTAGGACTGGGCTTTTGATTAGCCATGTCAATCAAAATCCAAGCCTAAAAGTCCTGATTATCAGTTCTGGGTCCCTGGCAATGACTTTTGGGTACAAACTGCGAAGCTTTGTTCTGCAGGTAGGGCTGGGCTTTTCATTGACCATGTGGATCAAATAGTTGTGTGGGCAAAGTGTGTCGTCTCAGCCACTATGTTTTCTGCACTTTTGAGTAGAGAGCACCTCGATAGCTCAGTTGGTAGAGCAGAGGACTGTAGGAAGTGCTGTGATCCAAAGGTCGCTGGTTCAACTCCCCATTTGTCCTTGTCTTCATCTGTGAACACCTCCAAAATGTCAAAACACAAACAAGAGAACTCCTCCTAAATTTTCCAACCATCAATTTTTTATTCACCCAGCCTTAAAGTCCTGACTATCAGTTCTGGGTCCTTGGCAATGACTGTCGGGTACAAACTGTGAAGCTCTGTTCTGAAGGTAGGACTGGGCTTTTGATTGGCCATGTCAATCAAAAGCCAAGCCTAAAAGTCCTGATTATCAGTTCTGGGTCCCTGGTAATGACTGTTGGGTACAAACTGCGAAGCTTTGTTCTGCAGGTAGGGCTGGGCTTTTCATTGACCATGTGGATCAAATAGTTGTGTGGGCAAAGTGTGTCGTCTCAGCCACTATGTTTTCTGCACTTGTGAGTAGAGAGCACCTCGATAGCTCAGTTGGTAGAGCAGAGGACTGTAGGAAGTGCTGTGATCCAAAGGTCGCTGGTTCAACTCCCCGCTTGTCCATGTCTTCATCTGTGAACACCTCCAAAATGTCAAAACACAAACAAGAGAACTCCTCCTTAATTTTCCAACCATCAATTTTTTATTCACCCAATTTAAAGTCCTGACTATCAGTTCTGGGTCCTTGGCAATGACTGTCGGGTACAAACTGTGAAGCTCTGTTCTGAAGGTAGGACTGGGCTTTTGATTAGCCATGTCAATAAAAAGCCAAGCCTAAAAGTCCTGATTATCAGTTCTGGGTCCCTGGCAATGACTGTTGGGTACAAACTGCGAAGCTTTGTTCTGCAGGTAGGGCCGGGCTTTTCATTGACCATGTGGATCAAATAGTTGTGTGGGCAAAGTATGTCGTCTCAGCCACTATGTTTTCTGCACTTGTGAGTAGTCAGCACCTTGATAGCTCAGTTGGTAGAGCAGAGGACTGTAGGAAGTTCCTCACATGAAGTGCTGTGATCCAAAGGTCGCTGGTTCAACTCACCGCTTGTCTTCATCTGTGAACACCTCCAAAATGTCAAAACACAAACAAGAGAACTCCTCCTTAATTTTCCAACCATCAATTTTTTATTCACCCAGCCTTAAAGTCCTGACTATCAGTTCTGGGTCCTTGGCAATGACTGTTGGGTACAAACTGTGAAGCTCTGTTCTGAAGGTAGGACTGGGCTTTTGATTAGCCATGTCAATCAAAATCCAAGCCTAAAAGTCCTGATTATCAGTTCTGGGTCCCTGGCAATGACTGTTGGGTACAAACTGCGAAGCTTTGTTCTGCAGGTAGGGCTTGGCTTTTCATTGACCATGTGGATCAAATAGTTGTGTGGGCAAAGTGTGTCGTCTCAGCCACTATGTTTTCTGCACTTGTGAGTAGAGAGCACCTCGATAGCTCAGTTGGAAGAGCAGAGGACTGTAGGAAGTGCTGTGATCCAAAGGTCGCTGGTTCAACTCCCCATTTGTCCTTGTCTTCATCTGTGAACACCTCCAAAATGTCAAAACACAAACAAGAGAACTCCTCCTTAATTTTCCAACCATCAATTTTTTATTCACCCAGCCTTAAAGTCCTGACTATCAGTTCTGGGTCCTTGGCAATGACTGTCGGGTACAAACTGTGAAGCTCTGTTCTGAAGGTAGGACTGGGCTTTTGATTAGCCATGTCAATCAAAAGCCAAGCCAAAAAGTCCTGATTATCAGTTCTGGGTCCCTGGTAATGACTGTTGGGTACAAACTGCGAAGCTTTGTTCTGCAGGTAGGGCTGGGCTTTTCATTGACCATGTGGATCAAATAGTTGTGTGGGCAAAGTGTGTCGTCTCAGCCACTATGTTTTCTGCAATTGTAAGTACAGAGCACCTCGATAGCTCAGTTGGTAGAGCAGAGGACTTTAGGAAGTTCCTCACATGAAGTGCTGTGATCCACAGGTCGCTGGTTCAATTCCCCGCTTGTCTTCATCTGTGAACACCTCCAAAATGTCAAAACACAAACAAGAGAACTCCTCCTTAATTTTCCAACCATCAATTTTTTATTCACCCAGCCTTAAAGTCCTGACTATCAGTTCTGGGTCCTTGGCAATGACTGTCGGGTACAAACTGTGAAGCTCTGTCCTGAAGGTAGGACTGGGCTTTTGATTAGCCATGTCAATCAAAATCCAAGCCTAAAAGTCCTGATTATCAGTTCTGGGTCCCTGGCAATGACTGTTGGGTACAAACTGCGAAGCTTTGTTCTGCAGGTAGGGCTGGGCTTTTCATTGACCATGTGGATCAAATAGTTGTGTGGGCAAAGTATGTCGTCTCAGCCACTATGTTTTCTGCACTTGTGAGTAGACAGCACCTCGATAGCTCAGTTGGTAGAGCAGAGGACTGTAGGAAGTTCCTCACATGAAGTGCTGTCATCCAAAGGTCGCTGTTTCAACTCCCAGCTTGTCCTTGTTTTCATCTGTGAACACCTCCAAAATGTCAAAACACAAACAAGAGAACTCCTCCTTAATTTTCCAACCATCAATTTTTTATTCACCCAGTCTTAAAGTCCTGACTATCAGTTCTGGGTCCTTGGCAATGACTGTCGGGTACAAACTGTGAAGCTCTGTTCTGAAGGTAGGACTGGGCTTTTGATTAGCCATGTCAATAAAAAGCCAAGCATAAAAGTCCTGATTATCAGTTCTGGGTCCCTGGCAATGACTGTTGGGTACAAACTGCGAAGCTTTGTTCTGCAGGTAGGGCTGGGCTTTACATTGACCATGTGGATCAAATAGTTGTGTGGGCAAAGTATGTCGTCTCAGCCACTATGTTTTCTGCACTTGTGAGTAGACAGCACCTCGATAGCTCAGTTGGTAGAGCACAGGACTGTAGGAAGTTCCTCACATGAAGTGCTGTCATCCAAAGGTCGCTGGTTCAACTCCCAGCTTGTCTTCATCTGTGAACACCTCCAAAATGTCAAAACACAAACAAGAGAACTCCTCCTTAATTTTCCAACCATCAATTAAAGTCCTGACTATCAGTTCTGGGTCCCTGGTAATGACTGTTGGTTACAAACTGCGAAGCTTTGTTCTGCAGGTAGGGCCGGGCTTTTCATTGACCATGTGGATCAAATAGTTGTGTGGGCAAAGTGTGTCGTCTCAGCCACTATGTTTTCTGCACTTGTGAGTGGAGAGCACCTCGATAGCTCAGTTGGTAGAGCAGAGGACTGTAGGAATTGCTGTGATCCAAAGGTCGCTGGTTCAACTCCCCGCTTGTCCATGTCTTCATCTGTGAACACCTCCAAAATGTCAAAACACAAACAAGAGAACTCCTCCTTAATTTTCCAACCATCAATTTTTTATTCACCCAGCCTTAAAGTCCTGACTATCAGTTCTGGGTCCTTGGCAATGACTGTCGGGTACAAACTGTGAAGCTCTGTTCTGAAGGTAGGACTGGGCTTTTGATTGGCCATGTCAATCAAAAGCCAAGCCTAAAAGTCCTGATTATCAGTTCTGGGTCCCTGGTAATGACTGTTGGGTACAAACTGCGAAGCTTTGTTCTGCAGGTAGGGCTGGGCTTTTCATTGACCATGTGGATCAAATAGTTGTGTGGGCAAAGTGTGTCGTCTCAGCCACTATGTTTTCTGCACTTGTGAGTATAGAGCACCTCGATAGCTCAGTTGGTAGAGCAGAGGACTTTAGGAAGTTCCTCACATGAAGTGCTCTGATCCAAAGGTCGCTGGTTCAACTCCCCGCTTGTCTTCATCTGTGAACACCTCCAAAATGTCAAAACACAAACAAGACAACTCCTCCTTAATTTTCCAACCATCAATTTTTTATTCACCCAGCCTTAAAGTCCTGACTATCAGTTCTGGGTCCTTGGCAATGACTGTTGGGTACAAACTGTGAAGCTCTGTCCTGAAGGTAGGACTGGGCTTTTGATTAGCCATGTCAATCAAAATCCAAGCCTAAAAGTCCTGATTATCAGTTCTGGGTCCCTGGCAATGACTGTTGGGTACAAACTGCGAAGCTTTGTTCTGCAGGTAGGGCTTGGCTTTTCATTGACCATGTGGATCAAATAGTTGTGTGGGCAAAGTGTGTCGTCTCAGCCACTATGTTTTCTGCACTTGCGAGTTGAGAGCACCTCGATAGCTCAGTTGGTAGAGCAGAGGACTGTAGGAAGTTCCTCACATGAACTGCTGTGATCCAAAGGTCGCTGGTTCAACTCCCAGCTTGTCCTTGTTTTCATCTGTGAACACCTCCAAAATGTCAAAACACAAACAAGAGAACTCCTCCTTAATTTTCCAACCATCAATTTTTTATTCACCCAGCCTTAAAGTCCTGACTATCAGTTCTGGGTCCTTGGCAATGACTGTCGGGTACAAACTGTGAAGCTCTTTTCTGAAGGTAGGACTGGGCTTTTGATTAGCCATGTCATTAAAAAGCCAAGTTTAAAAGTCCTGATTATCAGTTCTGGGTCCCTGGCAATGACTGTTGGGTACAAACTGCGAACCTTTGTTCGTCAGGTAGGGCTGGGCTTTTCATTGACCATGTGGATCAAATAGTTGTGTGGGCAAAGTGTGTCGTCTCAGCCACTATGTTTTCTGCACTTGTTAGTAGAGAGCACCTCGATAGCTCAGTTGGTAGAGCAGAGGGCTGTAGGAAGTTTCTCACATGAAGTGCTGTGATCCAAAGGTCGCTTGTTCAACTCCCTGCTTTTCCTTGTCTTCATCTGTGAACACCTCCAAATTGTAAAAACACAAACAAGAGAACTCCTCCTTAATTTTCCAACCATCAATTTTTTATTCACTCAGCCTTAAAGTCCTGATTATCAGTTCTGGGTCCTTGGCAATGACTGTCGGATACAAACTGTGAAGCTCTGTTCTGAAGGTAGGACTGGGCTTTTGATTGGCCATGTCAATCAAAAGCCAAGCCTAAAAGTCCTGATTATCAGTTCTGGGTCCCTGGCAATGACTGTTGGGTACAAACTGCGAAGCTTTATTCTGCAGGTAGGGCTGGGCTTTTCATTGACCATGTGGATCAAATAGTTGTGTGGGCAAAGTGTGTCGTCTCAGCCACTATGTTTTCTGCACTTGTGAGTAGAGAGCACCTCGATAGCTCAGTTGGTAGAGCAGAGGGCTGTAGGAAGTCCTGTGATCCAAAGGTCGCTGGTTCAACTCCCTGCTTTTCCTTGTCTTCATCTGTGAACACCTCCAAATTGTAAAAACACAAACAAGAGAACTCCTCCTTAATTTTCCAACCATCAATTTTTTATTCACCCAATGTAAAGTCCTGACTATCAGTTCTGGGTCCTTGGCAATGACTGTCGGGTACAAACTGTGAAGCTCTGTTCTGAAGGTAGGACTGGGCTTTTGATTAGCCATGTCATTAAAAAGCCAAGCCTAAAAGTCCTGATTATCAGTTCTGGGTCCCTGGCAATGACTGTTGGGTACAAACTGCGAAGCTTTGTTCTGCAGGTAGGGCTGGGCTTTTCATTGACCATGTGGATCAAATAGTTGTGTGGGCAAAGTATGTCGTCTCAGCCACTATGTTTTTTGCACTTGTGAGTAGACAGCACCTCGATAGCTCAGTTGGTAGAGCAGAGGACTGTAGGAAGTTTCTCACATGAAGAGCTGTCATCCAAAGGTCGCTGGTTCAACTCCCCGCTAGTCTTCATCTGTGAACACCTCCAAAATGTCAAAACACAAACAAGAGAACTCCTCCTTAATTTTCCAACCATCAATTTTTTATTCACCCAGCCTTAAAGTCCTGACTATCAGTTCTGGGTCCTTGGTAATGACTGTTGGATACAAACTGTGAAGCTCTGTCCTGAAGGTAGGACTGGGCTTTTGATTAGCCATGTCAATCAAAATCCAAGCCTAAAAGTCCTGATTATCAGTTCTGGGTCCCTGGCAATGACTGTTGGGTACAAACTGCGAAGCTTTATTCTGCAGGTAGGGCTGGGCTTTTCATTGACCATGTGGATCAAATAGTTGTGTGGGCAAAGTGTGTCGTCTCAGCCACTATGTTTTCTGCACTTGTGAGTAGAGAGGACCTCGATAGCTCAGTTGGTAGAGCAGAGGACTTTAGGAAGTTCCTCACATGAAGTGCTTTGATCCAAAGGTCGCTGGTTCAACTCCCCATTTGTCCTTGTCTTCATCTGTGAACACCTCCAAAATGTCAAAACACAAACAAGAGAACTCCTCCTTAATTTTCCAACCATCAATTTTTTATTCACCCAGCCTTAAAGTCCTGACTATCAGTTCTGGGTCCTTGGCAATGACTGTCGGATACAAACTGTGAAGCTCTGTTCTGAAGGTAGGACTGGGCTTTTGATTGGCCATGTCAATCAAAAGCCAAGCCTAAAAGTCCTGATAATCATTTCTGGGTCCCTGGTAATGACTGTTGGGTACAAACTGCGAAGCTTTGTTCTGCAGGTAGGGCTGGGCTTTTCATTGACCATGTGGTTCAAATAGTTGTGTGGGCAAAGTGTGTCGTCTCAGCCACTATGTTTTCTGCACTTGTGAGTAGAGAGCACCTCGATAGCTCAGTTGGTAGAGCAGAGGACTGTAGGAAGTGCTGTGATCCAAAGGTCGCTGGTTCAACTCCCGGCTTGTCCATGTCTTCATCTCTGAACACCTCCAAAATGTCAAAACACAAACAAGAGAACTCCTCCTTAATTTTCCAACCATCAATTTTTTATTCACCCAATTTAAAGTCCTGACTATCAGTTCTGGGTCCTTGGCAATGACTGTCGGGTACAAACTGTGAAGCTCTGTTCTGAAGGTAGGACTGGGCTTTTGATTAGCCATGTCAATAAAAAGCCAAGCCTAAAAGTCCTGATTATCAGTTCTGGGTCCCTGGCAATGACTGTTGGGTACAAACTGCGAAGCTTTATTCTGCAGGTAGGGCTGAGCTTTTCATTGACCATGTGGATCAAATAGTTGTGTGGGCAAAGTGTGTCGTCTCAGCCACTATGTTTTCTGCACTTGTGAGTAGAGAGCACCTCGATAGCTCAGTTGGTAGAGCAGCGGACTGTAACAAGTTCCTCACATGAAGTGCTGTGATCCAAAGGTCGCTGGTTCAACTCCCCATTTGTCCTTGTCTTCATCTGTGAACACCTCCAAAATGTCAAAACACAAACAAGAGAACTCCTCCTTAATTTTCCAACCATCAATTTTTTATTCACCCAGCCTTAAAGTCCTGACTATCAGTTCTGGGTCCTTGGCAATGACTGTCGGGTACAAACTGTGAAGCTCTGTTCTGAAGGTAGGACTGGGCTTTTGATTGGCCATGTCAATCAAAAGCCAAGCCTAAAAGTCCTGATAATCATTTCTGGGTCCCTGGCAATGACTGTTGGGTACAAACTGCGAAGCTTTATTCTGCAGGTAGGGCTGGGCTTTTCATTGACCATGTGGATCAAATTGTTGTGTGGGCAAAGTGTGTCGTCTCAGCCACTATGTTTTCTGCACTTGTGAGTAGAGAGCACCTCGATAGCTCAGTTGGTAGAGCAGAGGACTGTAGGAAGTGCTGTGATCCAAAGGTCGCTGGTTCAACTCCCCGCTTGTCCATGTCTTCATCTGTGAACACCTCCAAAATGTCAAAACACAAACAAGAGAACTCCTCCTAAATTTTCCAACCATCAATTTTTTATTCACTCAGCCTTAAAGTCCTGACTATCAGTTCTGGGTCCTTGGCAATGACTGTCGGGTACAAACTGTGAAGCTCTGTTCTGAAGGTAGGACTGGGCTTTTGATTAGCCATGTCAATAAAAAGCCAAGCCTAAAAGTCCTGATTATCAGTTCTGGGTCCCTGGCAATGACTGTTGGGTACAAACTGCGAAGCTTTGTTCTGCAGGTAGGGCTGGGCTTTTCATTAACCATGTGGATCAAATAGTTGTGTGGGCAAAGTATGTCGTCTCAGCCACTATGTTTTCTGCACTTGTGAGTAGAGAGCACCTCGATAGCTCAGTTGGTAGAGCAGAGGACTGTAGGAAGTTCCTCACATGAAGTGCTGTCATCCAAAGGTCGCTGGTTCAACTCCCCGCTTGTCTTCATCTGTGAACACCTCCAAAATGTCAAAACACAAACAAGAGAACTCCTCCTTAATTTTCCAACCATCAATTTTTTATTCACCCAGCCTTAAAGTCCTGACTATCAGTTCTGGGTCCTTGGCAATGACTGTTGGGTACAAACTGTGAAGCTCTGTCCTGAAGGTAGGACTGGGCTTTTGATTAGCCATGTCAATCAAAATCCAAGCCTAAAAGTCCTGATTATCAGTTCTGGGTCCCTGGCAATGACTGTTGGGTACAAACTGCGAAGCTTTGTTCTGCAGGTAGGGCTGGGCTTTTCATTGACCATGTGGATCAAATAGTTGTGTGGGCAAAGTGTGTCGTCTCAGCCACTATGTTTTCTGCACTTTTGAGTAGAGAGCACCTCGATAGCTCAGTTGGTAGAGCAGAGGACTGTAGGAAGTGCTGTGATCCAAAGGTCGCTGGTTCAACTCCCCATTTGTCCTTGTCTTCATCTGTGAACACCTCCAAAATGTCAAAACACAAACAAGAGAACTCCTCCTAAATTTTCCAACCATCAATTTTTTATTCACCCAGCCTTAAAGTCCTGACTATCAGTTCTGGGTCCTTGGCAATGACTGTCGGGTACAAACTGTGAAGCTCTGTTCTGAAGGTAGGACTGGGCTTTTGATTGGCCATGTCAATCAAAAGCCAAGCCTAAAAGTCCTGATTATCAGTTCTGGGTCCCTGGTAATGACTGTTGGGTACAAACTGCGAAGCTTTGTTCTGCAGGTAGGGCTGGGCTTTTCATCGACCATGTGGATCAAATAGTTGTGTGGGCAAAGTGTGTCGTCTCAGCCACTATGTTTTCTGCACTTTTGAGTAGAGAGCACCTCGATAGCTCAGTTGGTAGAGCAGAGGACTGTAGGAAGTGCTGTGATCCAAAGGTCGCTGGTTCAACTCCCCGCTTGTCCATGTCTTCATCTGTGAACACCTCCAAAATGTCAAAACACAAACAAGAGAACTCCTCCTTAATTTTCCAACCATCAATTTTTTATTCACCCAATTTAAAGTCCTGACTATCAGTTCTGGGTCCTTGGCAATGACTGTCGGGTACAAACTGTGAAGCTCTGTTCTGAAGGTAGGACTGGGCTTTTGATTAGCCATGTCAATAAAAAGCCAAGCCTAAAAGTCCTGATTATCAGTTCTGGGTCCCTGGCAATGACTGTTGGGTACAAACTGCGAAGCTTTGTTCTGCAGGTAGGGCCGGGCTTTTCATTGACCATGTGGATCAAATAGTTGTGTGGGCAAAGTATGTCGTCTCAGCCACTATGTTTTCTGCACTTGTGAGTAGTCAGCACCTTGATAGCTCAGTTGGTAGAGCAGAGGACTGTAGGAAGTTCCTCACATGAAGTGCTGTGATTCAAAGGTCGCTGGTTCAACTCCCCGCTTGTCTTCATCTGTGAACACCTCCAAAATGTCAAAACACAAACAAGAGAACTCCTCCTTAATTTTCCAACCATCAATTTTTTATTCACCCAGCCTTAAAGTCCTGACTATCAGTTCTGGGTCCTTGGCAATGACTGTTGGGTACAAACTGTGAAGCTCTGTTCTGAAGGTAGGACTGGGCTTTTGATTAGCCATGTCAATCAAAATCCAAGCCTAAAAGTCCTGATTATCAGTTCTGGGTCCCTGGCAATGACTGTTGGGTACAAACTGCGAAGCTTTGTTCTGCAGGTAGGGCTTGGCTTTTCATTGACCATGTGGATCAAATAGTTGTGTGGGCAAAGTGTGTCGTCTCAGCCACTATGTTTTCTGCACTTGTGAGTAGAGAGCACCTCGATAGCTCAGTTGGAAGAGCAGAGGACTGTAGGAAGTGCTGTGATCCAAAGGTCGCTGGTTCAACTCCCCATTTGTCCTTGTCTTCATCTGTGAACACCTCCAAAATGTCAAAACACAAACAAGAGAACTCCTCCTTAATTTTCCAACCATCAATTTTTTATTCACCCAGCCTTAAAGTCCTGACTATCAGTTCTGGGTCCTTGGCAATGACTGTCGGGTACAAACTGTGAAGCTCTGTTCTGAAGGTAGGACTGGGCTTTTGATTAGCCATGTCAATCAAAAGCCAAGCCAAAAGTCCTGATTATCAGTTCTGGGTCCCTGGTAATGACTGTTGGGTACAAACTGCGAAGCTTTGTTCTGCAGGTAGGGCTGGGCTTTTCATTGACCATGTGGATCAAATAGTTGTGTGGGCAAAGTGTGTCGTCTCAGCCACTATGTTTTCTGCAATTGTAAGTACAGAGCACCTCGATAGCTCAGTTGGTAGAGCAGAGGACTTTAGGAAGTTCCTCACATGAAGTGCTGTGATCCACAGGTCGCTGGTTCAATTCCCCGCTTGTCTTCATCTGTGAACACCTCCAAAATGTCAAAACACAAACAAGAGAACTCCTCCTTAATTTTCCAACCATCAATTTTTTATTCACCCAGCCTTAAAGTCCTGACTATCAGTTCTGGGTCCTTGGCAATGACTGTCGGGTACAAACTGTGAAGCTCTGTCCTGAAGGTAGGACTGGGCTTTTGATTAGCCATGTCAATCAAAATCCAAGCCTAAAAGTCCTGATTATCAGTTCTGGGTCCCTGGCAATGACTGTTGGGTACAAACTGCGAAGCTTTGTTCTGCAGGTAGGGCTGGGCTTTTCATTGACCATGTGGATCAAATAGTTGTGTGGGCAAAGTATGTCGTCTCAGCCACTATGTTTTCTGCACTTGTGAGTAGACAGCACCTCGATAGCTCAGTTGGTAGAGCAGAGGACTGTAGGAAGTTCCTCACATGAAGTGCTGTCATCCAAAGGTCGCTGTTTCAACTCCCAGCTTGTCCTTGTTTTCATCTGTGAACACCTCCAAAATGTCAAAACACAAACAAGAGAACTCCTCCTTAATTTTCCAACCATCAATTTTTTATTCACCCAGTCTTAAAGTCCTGACTATCAGTTCTGGGTCCTTGGCAATGACTGTCGGGTACAAACTGTGAAGCTCTGTTCTGAAGGTAGGACTGGGCTTTTGATTAGCCATGTCAATAAAAAGCCAAGCATAAAAGTCCTGATTATCAGTTCTGGGTCCCTGGCAATGACTGTTGGGTACAAACTGCGAAGCTTTGTTCTGCAGGTAGGGCTGGGCTTTTCATTGACCATGTGGATCAAATAGTTGTGTGGGCAAAGTATGTCGTCTCAGCCACTATGTTTTCTGCACTTGTGAGTAGACAGCACCTCGATAGCTCAGTTGGTAGAGCACAGGACTGTAGGAAGTTCCTCACATGAAGTGCTGTCATCCAAAGGTCGCTGGTTCAACTCCCAGCTTGTCTTCATCTGTGAACACCTCCAAAATGTCAAAACACAAACAAGAGAACTCCTCCTTAATTTTCCAACCATCAATTAAAGTCCTGACTATCAGTTCTGGGTCCCTGGTAATGACTGTTGGTTACAAACTGCGAAGCTTTGTTCTGCAGGTAGGGCCGGGCTTTTCATTGACCATGTGGATCAAATAGTTGTGTGGGCAAAGTGTGTCGTCTCAGCCACTATGTTTTCTGCACTTGTGAGTGGAGAGCACCTCGATAGCTCAGTTGGTAGAGCAGAGGACTGTAGGAAGTGCTGTGATCCAAAGGTCGCTGGTTCAACTCCCCGCTTGTCCATGTCTTCATCTGTGAACACCTCCAAAATGTCAAAACACAAACAAGAGAACTCCTCCTTAATTTTCCAACCATCAATTTTTTATTCACCCAGCCTTAAAGTCCTGACTATCAGTTCTGGGTCCTTGGCAATGACTGTCGGGTACAAACTGTGAAGCTCTGTTCTGAAGGTAGGACTGGGCTTTTGATTGGCCATGTCAATCAAAAGCCAAGCCTAAAAGTCCTGATTATCAGTTCTGGGTCCCTGGTAATGACTGTTGGGTACAAACTGCGAAGCTTTGTTCTGCAGGTAGGGCTGGGCTTTTCATTGACCATGTGGATCAAATAGTTGTGTGGGCAAAGTGTGTCGTCTCAGCCACTATGTTTTCTGCACTTATTAGTAGAGAGCACCTCGATAGCTCAGTTGGTAGAGCAGAGGGCTGTAGGAAGTTTCTCACATGAAGTGCTGTGATCCAAAGGTCGCTGGTTCAACTCCCTGCTTTTCCTTGTCTTCATCTGTGAACACCTCCAAATTGTCAAAACACAAACAAGAGAACTCCTCCTTAATTTTCCAACCATCAATTTTTTATTCACTCAGCCTTAAAGTCCTGACTATCAGTTCTGGGTCCTTGGCAATGACTGTCGGATACAAACTGTGAAGCTCTGTTCTGAAGGTAGGACTGGGCTTTTGATTGGCCATGTCAATCAAAAGCCAAGCCTAAAAGTCCTGATTATCAGTTCTGGGTCCCTGGCAATGACTGTTGGGTACAAACTGCGAAGCTTTATTCTGCAGGTAGGGCTGGGCTTTTCATTGACCATGTGGATCAAATAGTTGTGTGGGCAAAGTGTGTCGTCTCAGCCACTATGTTTTCTGCACTTGTGAGTAGAGAGCACCTCGATAGCTCAGTTGGTAGAGCAGAGGACTGTAGGAAGTCCTGTGATCCAAAGGTCGCTGGTTCAACTCCCCGCTTGTCCATGTCTTCATCTGTGAACACCTCCAAAATGTCAAAACACAAACAAGAGAACTCCTCCTTAATTTTCCAACCATCAATTTTTTATTCACCCAATGTAAAGTCCTGACTATCAGTTCTGGGTCCTTGGCAATGACTGTCGGGTACAAACTGTGAAGCTCTGTTCTGAAGGTAGGACTGGGCTTTTGATTAGCCATGTCATTAAAAAGCCAAGCCTAAAAGTCCTGATTATCAGTTCTGGGTCCCTGGCAATGACTGTTGGGTACAAACTGCGAAGCTTTGTTCTGCAGGTAGGGCTGGGCTTTTCATTGACCATGTGGATCAAATAGTTGTGTGGGCAAAGTATGTCGTCTCAGCCACTATGTTTTTTGCACTTGTGAGTAGACAGCACCTCGATAGCTCAGTTGGTAGAGCAGAGGACTGTAGGAAGTTTCTCACATGAAGTGCTGTCATCCAAAGGTCGCTGGTTCAACTCCCCGCTTGTCTTCATCTGTGAACACCTCCAAAATGTCAAAACACAAACAAGAGAACTCCTCCTTAATTTTCCAACCATCAATTTTTTATTCACCCAGCCTTAAAGTCCTGACTATCAGTTCTGGGTCCTTGGTAATGACTGTTGGATACAAACTGTGAAGCTCTGTCCTGAAGGTAGGACTGGGCTTTTGATTAGCCATGTCAATCAAAATCCAAGCCTAAAAGTCCTGATTATCAGTTCTGGGTCCCTGGCAATGACTGTTGGGTACAAACTGCGAAGCTTTATTCTGCAGGTAGGGCTGGGCTTTTCATTGACCATGTGGATCAAATAGTTGTGTGGGCAAAGTGTGTCGTCTCAGCCACTATGTTTTCTGCACTTGTGAGTAGAGAGGACCTCGATAGCTCAGTTGGTAGAGCAGAGGACTTTAGGAAGTTCCTCACATGAAGTGCTTTGATCCAAAGGTCGCTGGTTCAACTCCCCATTTGTCCTTGTCTTCATCTGTGAACACCTCCAAAATGTCAAAACACAAACAAGAGAACTCCTCCTTAATTTTCCAACCATCAATTTTTTATTCACCCAGCCTTAAAGTCCTGACTATCAGTTCTGGGTCCTTGGCAATGACTGTCGGATACAAACTGTGAAGCTCTGTTCTGAAGGTAGGACTGGGCTTTTGATTGGCCATGTCAATCAAAAGCCAAGCCTAAAAGTCCTGATAATCATTTCTGGGTCCCTGGTAATGACTGTTGGGTACAAACTGCGAAGCTTTGTTCTGCAGGTAGGGCTGGGCTTTTCATTGACCATGTGGTTCAAATAGTTGTGTGGGCAAAGTGTGTCGTCTCAGCCACTATGTTTTCTGCACTTGTGAGTAGAGAGCACCTCGATAGCTCAGTTGGTAGAGCAGAGGACTGTAGGAAGTGCTGTGATCCAAAGGTCGCTGGTTCAACTCCCCGCTTGTCCATGTCTTCATCTCTGAACACCTCCAAAATGTCAAAACACAAACAAGAGAACTCCTCCTTAATTTTCCAACCATCAATTTTTTATTCACCCAATTTAAAGTCCTGACTATCAGTTCTGGGTCCTTGGCAATGACTGTCGGGTACAAACTGTGAAGCTCTGTTCTGAAGGTAGGACTGGGCTTTTGATTAGCCATGTCAATAAAAAGCCAAGCCTAAAAGTCCTGATTATCAGTTCTGGGTCCCTGGCAATGACTGTTGGGTACAAACTGCGAAGCTTTATTCTGCAGGTAGGGCTGAGCTTTTCATTGACCATGTGGATCAAATAGTTGTGTGGGCAAAGTGTGTCGTCTCAGCCACTATGTTTTCTGCACTTGTGAGTAGAGAGCACCTCGATAGCTCAGTTGGTAGAGCAGCGGACTGTAGCAAGTTCCTCACATGAAGTGCTGTGATCCAAAGGTCGCTGGTTCAACTCCCCATTTGTCCTTGTCTTCATCTGTGAACACCTCCAAAATGTCAAAACACAAACAAGAGAACTCCTCCTTAATTTTCCAACCATCAATTTTTTATTCACCCAGCCTTAAAGTCCTGACTATCAGTTCTGGGTCCTTGGCAATGACTGTCGGGTACAAACTGTGAGGCTCTGTTCTGAAGGTAGGACTGGGCTTTTGATTGGCCATGTCAATCAAAAGCCAAGCCTAAAAGTCCTGATAATCATTTCTGGGTCCCTGGCAATGACTGTTGGGTACAAACTGCGAAGCTTTATTCTGCAGGTAGGGCTGGGCTTTTCATTGACCATGTGGATCAAATTGTTGTGTGGGCAAAGTGTGTCGTCTCAGCCACTATGTTTTCTGCACTTGTGAGTAGAGAGCACCTCGATAGCTCAGTTGGTAGAGCAGAGGACTGTAGGAAGTGCTGTGATCCAAAGGTCGCTGGTTCAACTCCCCGCTTGTCCATGTCTTCATCTGTGAACACCTCCAAAATGTCAAAACACAAACAAGAGAACTCCTCCTTAATTTTCCAACCATCAATTTTTTATTCACTCAGCCTTAAAGTCCTGACTATCAGTTCTGGGTCCTTGGCAATGACTGTCGGGTACAAACTGTGAAGCTCTGTTCTGAAGGTAGGACTGGGCTTTTGATTAGCCATGTCAATAAAAAGCCAAGCCTAAAAGTCCTGATTATCAGTTCTGGGTCCCTGGCAATGACTGTTGGGTACAAACTGCGAAGCTTTGTTCTGCAGGTAGGGCTGGGCTTTTCATTAACCATGTGGATCAAATAGTTGTGTGGGCAAAGTATGTCGTCTCAGCCACTATGTTTTCTGCACTTGTGAGTAGAGAGCACCTCGATAGCTCAGTTGGTAGAGCAGAGGACTGTAGGAAGTTCCTCACATGAAGTGCTGTCATCCAAAGGTCGCTGGTTCAACTCCCCGCTTGTCTTCATCTGTGAACACCTCCAAAATGTCAAAACACAAACAAGAGAACTCCTCCTTAATTTTCCAACCATCAATTTTTTATTCACCCAGCCTTAAAGTCCTGACTATCAGTTCTGGGTCCTTGGCAATGACTGTTGGGTACAAACTGTGAAGCTCTGTCCTGAAGGTAGGACTGGGCTTTTGATTAGCCATGTCAATCAAAATCCAAGCCTAAAAGTCCTGATTATCAGTTCTGGGTCCCTGGCAATGACTTTTGGGTACAAACTGCGAAGCTTTGTTCTGCAGGTAGGGCTGGGCTTTTCATTGACCATGTGGATCAAATAGTTGTGTGGGCAAAGTGTGTCGTCTCAGCCACTATGTTTTCTGCACTTTTGAGTAGAGACCACCTCGATAGCTCAGTTGGTAGAGCAGAGGACTGTAGGAAGTGCTGTGATCCAAAGGTCGCTGGTTCAACTCCCCATTTGTCCTTGTCTTCATCTGTGAACACCTCCAAAATGTCAAAACACAAACAAGAGAACTCCTCCTAAATTTTCCAACCATCAATTTTTTATTCACCCAGCCTTAAAGTCCTGACTATCAGTTCTGGGTCCTTGGCAATGACTGTCGGGTACAAACTGTGAAGCTCTGTTCTGAAGGTAGGACTGGGCTTTTGATTGGCCATGTCAATCAAAAGCCAAGCCTAAAAGTCCTGATTATCAGTTCTGGGTCCCTGGTAATGACTGTTGGGTAAAAACTGCGAAGCTTTGTTCTGCAGGTAGGGCTGGGCTTTTCATTGACCATGTGGATCAAATAGTTGTGTGGGCAAAGTGTGTCGTCTCAGCCACTATGTTTTCTGCACTTTTGAGTAGAGAGCACCTCGATAGCTCAGTTGGTAGAGCAGAGGACTGTAGGAAGTGCTGTGATCCAAAGGTCGCTGGTTCAACTCCCCGCTTGTCCATGTCTTCATCTGTGAACACCTCCAAAATGTCAAAACACAAACAAGAGAACTCCTCCTTAATTTTCCAACCATCAATTTTTTATTCACCCAATTTAAAGTCCTGACTATCAGTTCTGGGTCCTTGGCAATGACTGTCGGGTACAAACTGTGAAGCTCTGTTCTGAAGGTAGGACTGGGCTTTTGATTAGCCATGTCAATAAAAAGCCAAGCCTATAAGTCCTGATTATCAGTTCCTGGTCCCTGGCAATGACTGTTGGGTACAAACTGCGAAGCTTTGTTCTGCAGGTAGGGCCGGGCTTTTCATTGACCATGTGGATCAAATAGTTGTGTGGGCAAAGTATGTCGTCTCAGCCACTATGTTTTCTGCACTTGTGAGTAGTCAGCACCTTGATAGCTCAGTTGGTAGAGCAGAGGACTGTAGGAAGTTCCTCACATGAAGTGCTGTGATCCAAAGGTCGCTGGTTCAACTCCCCGCTTGTCTTCATCTGTGAACACCTCCAAAATGTCAAAACACAAACAAGAGAACTCCTCCTTAATTTTCCAACCATCAATTTTTTATACACCCAGCCTTAAAGTCCTGACTATCAGTTCTGGGTCCTTGGCAATGACTGTCGGGTACAAACTGTGAAGCTCTGTTCTGAAGGTAGGACTGGGCTTTTGATTGGCCATGTCAATCAAAAGCCAAGCCTAAAAGTCCTGATTATCAGTTCTGGGTCCCTGGCAATGACTGTTGGGTACAAACTGCGAAGCTTTGTTCTGCAGGTAGGGCTTGGCTTTTCATTGACCATGTGGATCAAATAGTTGTGTGGGCAAAGTGTGTCGTCTCAGCCACTATGTTTTCTGCACTTGTGAGTAGAGAGCACCTCGATAGCTCAGTTGGTAGAGCAGAGGACTTTAGGAAGTTCCTCACATGAAGTGCTGTGATCCAAAGGTCGCTGGTTCAACTCCCCGCTTGTCTTCATCTGTGAACACCTCCAAAATGTCAAAACACAAACAAGAGAACTCCTCCTTAATTTTCCAACCATCAATTTTTTATTCACCCAGCCTTAAAGTCCTGACTATCAGTTCTGGGTCCTTGGCAATGACTGTTGGGTACAAACTGTGAAGCTCTGTCCTGAAGGTAGGACTGGGCTTTTGATTAGCCATGTCAATCAAAATCCAAGCCTAAAAGTCCTGATTATCAGTTCTGGGTCCCTGGTAATGACTGTTGGGTACAAACTGCAAAGCTTTGTTCTGCAGGTAGGGCCGGGGTTTTCATTGACCATGTGGATCAAATAGTTGTGTGGGCAAAGTGTGTCGTCTCAGCCACTATGTTTTCTGCACTTGTGAGTAGAGAGCACCTCGATAGCTCAGTTGGTAGAGCAGAGAACTTTAGGAAGTTCCTCACATGAAGTGCTGTGATCCAAAGGTCGCTGGTTCAACTCCCCGCTTGTCTTCATCTGTGAACACCTCCAAAATGTCAAAACACAAACAAGAGAACTCCTCCTTAATTTTCCAACCATCAATTTTTTATTCACCCAGCCTTAAAGTCCTGACTATCAGTTCTGGGTCCTTGGCAATGACTGTTGGGTACAAACTGTGAAGCTCTGTCCTGAAGGTAGGACTGGGCTTTTGATTAGCCATGTCAATCAAAATCCAAGCCTAAAAGTCCTGATTATCAGTTCTGGGTCCCTGGCAATGACTGTTGGCTACAAACTGCGAAGCTTTGTTCTGCAGGTAGGGCTTGGCTTTTCATTGACCATGTGGATCAAATAGTTGTGTGGGCAAAGTGTGTCGTCTCAGCCACTATGTTTTCTGCACTTGTGAGTAGAGAGCACCTCGATAGCTCAGTTGGTAGAGCAGAGGACTGTAGGAAGTTCCTCACATGAAGTGCTGTGATCCAAAGGTCGCTGGTTCAACTCCCAGCTTGTCCTTGTTTTCATCTGTGAACACCTCCAAAATGTCAAAACACAAACAAGAGAACTCCTCCTTAATTTTCCAACCATCAATTTTTTATTCACCCAGCCTTAAAGTCCTGACTATCAGTTCTGGGTCCTTGGCAATGACTGTCGGGTACAAACTGTGAAGCTCTGTTCTGAAGGTAGGACTGGGCTTTTGATTAGCCATGTCAATAAAAAGCCAAGCCTAAAAGTCCTGATTATCAGTTCTGGGTCCCTGGCAATGACTGTTGGGTACAAACTGCGAAGCTTTGTTCTGCAGGTAGGGCTGGGCTTTTCATTGACCATGTGGATCAAATAGTTGTGTGGGCAAAGTGTGTCGTCTCAGCCACTATGTTTTCTGCACTTGTGTGTAGAGAGCACCTCGATAGCTCAGTTGGTAGAGCAGAGGACTGTAGGAAGTGCTGTGATCCAAAGGTCGCTAGTTCATCTCCCCGCTTGTCCATGTCTTCATCTGTGAACACCTCCAAAATGTCAAAACACAAACAAGAGAACTCCTCCTTAATTTTCCAACCATCAATTTTTTATTCACCCAATTTAAAGTCCTGACTATCAGTTCTGGGTCCTTGGCAATGACTGTCGGGTACAAACTGTGAAGCTCTGTTCTGAAGGTAGGACTGGGCTTTTGATTGGCCATGTCAATCAAAAGCCAAGCCTTAAAGTCCTGATTATCAGTTCTGGGTCCCTGGTAATGACTGTTGGGTACAAACTGCGAAGCTTTGTTCTGCAGGTAGGGCTGGGCTTTTCATTGACCATGTGGATCAAATAGTTGTGTGGGCAAAGTGTGTCGTCTCAGCCACTATGTTTTCTGCACTTGTGAGTAGAGAGCACCTCGATAGCTCAGTTGGTAGAGCAGAGGACTTTAGGAAGTTCCTCACATGAAGTGCTGTGATCCAAAGGTCGCTGGTTCAACTCCCCGCTTGTCTTCATCTGTGAACACCTCCAAAATGTCAAAACACAAACAAGAGAACTCCTCCTTAATTTTCCAACCATCAATTTTTTATTCACCCAGCCTTAAAGTCCTGACTATCAGTTCTGGGTCCTTGGCAATGACTGTTGGGTACAAACTGTGAAGCTCTGTCCTGAAGGTAGGACTGGGCTTTTGATTAGCCATGTCAATCAAAATCCAAGCCTAAAAGTCCTGATTATCAGTTCTGGGTCCCTGGCAATGACTGTGTGGGTACAAACTGCGAAGCTTTGTTCTGCAGGTAGGGCTTGGCTTTTCATTGACCATGTGGATCAAATAGTTGTGTGGGCAAAGTGTGTCGTCTCAGCCACTATGTTTTCTGCACTTGTGAGTAGAGAGCACCTCGATAGCTCAGTTGGTAGAGCAGAGGACTGTAGCAAGTTCCTCACATGAAGTGCTGTGATCCAAAGGTCGCTGGTTCAACTCCCCGCTTGTCCTTGTCTTCATCTGTGAACACCTCCAAAATGTCAAAACACAAACAAGAGAACTCCTCCTTAGTTTTCCAACCATCAATTTTTTATTCACCCAGCCTCAAAGTCCTGACTATCAGTTCTGGGTCCTTGGCAATGACTGTTGGGTACAAACTGTGAAGCTCTGTTCTGAAGGTAGGACTGGGCTTTTGATTGGCCATGTCAATGAAAAGCCCAGCCTAAAAGTCCTGATTATCAGTTCTGGGTCCCTGGCAATGACTGTTGGATACAAACTGCGAAGCTTTGTTCTTCAGGTAGGGCTGGGCTTTTCATTGACCATGTGGATCAAAAAGTTGTGTGGGCAAAGTGTGTCGTCTCAGCCACTATGTTTTCTGCACTTGTGAGGAGAGAGCAACTCGATAGCTCAGTTGGAAGAGCAGAGGCCGGTAGGAAGTTCCTCACATGAAGTGCTGTGATGCAAAGGTCGCTGGTTCAACTCCCCGCTTGTCCTTGTCTTCATCTGTGAACACCTCCAAAATGTCAAAACACAAACAAGAGAACTCCTCCTTAGTTTTCCAACCATCAATTTTTTATTCACCCAGCCTCAAAGTCCTGACTATCAGTTCTGGGTCCTTGGCAATGACTGTTGGGTACAAACTGTGAAGCTCTGTTCTGAAGGTAGGACTGGGCTTTTGATTGGCCATGTCAATGAAAAGCCCAGCCTAAAAGTCCTGATTATCAGTTCTGGGTCCCTGGCAATGACTGTTGGATACAAACTACGAAGCTTTGTTCTGCAGGTAGGGCTGGGCTTTTCATTGACCATGTGGATCAAAAAGTTGTGTGGGCAAAGTGTGTCGTCTCAGCCACTATGTTTTCTGCACTTGTGAGTAGAGATCACCTCGATAGCTCAGTTGGTAGAGCAGAGGACTGTAGGAAGTTCTTCACATGAAGTGCTGTGATGCAAAGGTCGCTGGTTCAACTCCCCGCTTGTCCTTGTCTTCATCTGTGAACACCTCCAAAATGTCAAAACACAAACAAGAGAAGTCCTCCTTAGTTTTCCAACCATCAATTTTTTATTTTCCCAGCCTTAAAGTCCTGACTATCAGTTCTGGGTCCTTGGCAATGACTGTTGGGTACAAACTGTGAAGCTCTGTTCTGAAGGTAGGACTGGGCTTTTGATTGGCCATGTCAATGAAAAGCCCAGCCTAAAAGTCCTGATTATCAGTTCTGGGTCCCTGGCAATGACTGTTGGATACAAACTGCGAAGCTTTGTTCTGCAGGTAGGGCTGGGCTTTTCATTGACCATGTGGATCAAAAAGTTGTGTGGGCAAAGTGTGTCGTCTCAGCCACTATGTTTTCTGCACTTGTGAGTAGAGATCACCTCGATAGCTCAGTTGGTAGAGCAGAGGACTGTAGGAAGTTCTTCACATGAAGTGCTGTAATGCAAAGGTCGCTGGTTCAACTCCCAGCTTGTCCTTGTCTTCATCTGTGAACACCTCCAAAATGTCAAAACACAAACAAGAGAAGTTCTCCTTAGTTTTCCAACCATCAATTTTTTATTCTCCCAGCCTTAAAGTCCTGACTATCAGTTCTGGGTCCTTGGCAATGACTGTTGGGTACAAACTGTGAAGCTCTGTTCTGAAGGTAGGACTGGGCTTTTGATTGGCCATGTCAATGAAAAGCCCAGCCTAAAAGTCCTGATTATCAGTTCTGGGTCCCTGGCAATGACTGTTGGGTACAAACTGCGAAGCTTTGTTCTGCAGGTAGGGCTGGGCTTTTCATTGACCATGTGGATCAAATAGTTGTGTGGGCAAAGTGTGTCGTCTCAGCCACTATGTTTTCTGCACTTGTGAGTAGAGAGCACCTCGATAGCTCAGTTGGTAGAGCAGAGGACTGTAGGAAGTTCCTCACATTAAGTGCTGTGATCCAAAGGTCGCTGGTTCAACTCCCCGCTTGTCTTCATCTGTGAACACCTCCAAAATGTCAAAACACAAACAAGAGAACTCCTCCTTAATTTTCCAACCATCAATTTTTTATTCACCCAGCCTTAAAGTCCTGACTATCAGTTCTGGGTCCTTGGCAATGACTGTTGGGTACAAACTGTGAAGCTCTGTCCTGAAGGTAGGACTGGGCTTTTGATTAGCCATGTCAATCAAAATCCAAGCCTAAAAGTCCTGATTATCAGTTCTGGGTCCCTGGCAATGACTGTTGGGTACAAACTGCGAAGCTTTGTTCTGCAGGTAGGGCTTGGCTTTTCATTGACCATGTGGATCAAATAGTTGTGTGGGCAAAGTGTGTCGTCTCAGCCACTATGTTTTCTGCACTTGTGAGTAGAGAGCACCTCGATAGCTCAGTTGGTAGAGCAGAGGACTTTAGGAAGTTCCTCACATGAAGTGCTGTGATCCAAAGGTCGCTGGTTCAACTCCCCGCTTGTCTTCATCTGTGAACACCTCCAAAATGTCAAAACACAAACAAGAGAACTCCTCCTTAATTTTCCAACCATCAATTTTTTATTCACCCAGCCTTAAAGTCCTGACTATCAGTTCTGGGTCCTTGGCAATGACTGTTGGGTACAAACTGTGAAGCTCTGTCCTGAAGGTAGGACTGGGCTTTTGATTAGCCATGTCAATCAAAATCCAAGCCTAAAAGTCCTGATTATCAGTTCTGGGTCCCTGGCAATGACTGTTGGGTACAAACTGCGAAGCTTTGTTCTGCAGGTAGGGCTTGGCTTTTCATTGACCATGTGGATCAAATAGTTGTGTGGGCAAAGTGTGTCGTCTCAGCCACTATGTTTTCTGCACTTGTGAGTAGAGAGCACCTCGATAGCTCAGTTGGTAGAGCAGAGGACTGTAGCAAGTTCCTCACATGAAGTGCTGTGATCCAAAGGTCGCTGGTTCAACTCCCCGCTTGTCCTTGTCTTCATCTGTGAACACCTCCAAAATGTCAAAACACAAACAAGAGAACTCCTCCTTAGTTTTCCAACCATCAATTTTTTATTCACCCAGCCTCAAAGTCCTGACTATCAGTTCTGGGTCCTTGGCAATGACTGTTGGGTACAAACTGTGAAGCTCTGTTCTGAAGGTAGGACTGGGCTTTTGATTGGCCATGTCAATGAAAGGCCCAGCCTAAAAGTCCTGATTATCAGCTCTGGGTCCCTGGCAATGACTGTTGGGTACAAACTGCGAAGCTTTGTTCTGCAGATAGGGCTGGGCTTTTCATTGACCATGTGGATCAAATAGTTGTGTGGGCAAAGTGTGTCGTCTCAGCCACTATGTTTTCTGCACTTGTGAGTAGAGAGCACCTCGATAGCTCAGTTGGTAGAGCAGAGGACTGTAGGAAGTTCCTCACATGAAGTGCTGTGATGCAAAGGTCGCTGGTTCAACTCCCAGCTTGTCCTTGTCTTCATCTGTGAACACCTCCAAAATGTCAAAACACAAACAAGAGAACTCCTCCTTAATTTTCCAACCATCAATTTTTTATTCACCCAGCCTTAAAGTCCTGACTATCAGTTCTGGGTCCTTGGCAATGACTGTTGGGTACAAACTGTGAAGCTCTGTTCTGAAGGTAGGACTGGGCTTTTGATTGGCCATGTCAATGAAAAGCCCAGCCTAAAAGTCCTGATTATCAGTTCTGGGTCCCTGGCAATGACTGTTGGATACAAACTGCGAAGCTTTGTTCTTCAGGTAGGGCTGGGCTTTTCATTGACCATGTGGATCAAAAAGTTGTGTGGGCAAACTGTGTCGTCTCAGCCACTATGTTTTCTGCACTTGTGAGCAGAGAGCAACTCGATAGCTCAGTTGGAAGAGCAGAGGCCTGTAGGAAGTTCCTCACATGAAGTGCTGTGATGCAAAGGTCGCTGGTTCAACTCCCCGCTTGTCCTTGTCTTCATCTGTGAACACCTCCAAAATGTCAAAACACAAACAAGAGAACTCCTCCTTAGTTTTCCAACCATCAATTTTTTATTCACCCAGCCTCAAAGTCCTGACTATCAGTTCTGGGTCCTTGGCAATGACTGTTGGGTACAAACTGTGAAGCTCTGTTCTGAAGGTAGGACTGGGCTTTTGATTGGCCATGTCAATGAAAAGCCCAGCCTAAAAGTCCTGATTATCAGTTCTGGGTCCCTGGCAATGACTGTTGGATACAAACTACGAAGCTTTGTTCTGCAGGTAGGGCTGGGCTTTTCATTGACCATGTGGATCAAAAAGTTGTGTGGGCAAAGTGTGTCGTCTCAGCCACTATGTTTTCTGCACTTGTGAGTAGAGATCACCTCGATAGCTCAGTTGGTAGAGCAGAGGACTGTAGGAAGTTCTTCACATGAAGTGCTGTGATGCAAAGGTCGCTGGTTCAACTCCCCGCTTGTCCTTGTCTTCATCTGTGAACACCTCCAAAATGTCAAAATACAAACAAGAGAAGTCCTCCTTAGTTTTCCAACCATCAATTTTTGATTTTCCCAGCCTTAAAGTCCTGACTATCTGTTCTGGGTCCTTGGCAATGACTGTTGGGTACAAACTGTGAAGCTCTGTTCTGAAGGTAGGACTGGGCTTTTGATTGGCCATGTCAATGAAAAGCCCAGCCTAAAAGTCCTGATTATCAGTTCTGGGTCCCTGGCAATGACTGTTGGATACAAACTGCGAAGCTTTGTTCTGCAGGTAGGGCTGGGCTTTTCATTGACCATGTGGATCAAAAAGTTGTGTGGGCAAAGTGTGTCGTCTCAGCCACTATGTTTTCTGCACTTGTGAGGAGAGAGCAACTCGATAGCTCAGTTGGTAGAGCAGAGGACTGTAGGAAGTTCTTCACATGAAGTGCTGTAATGCAAAGGTCGCTGGTTCAACTCCCCGCTTGTCCTTGTCTTCATCTGTGAACACCTCCAAAATGTCAAAACACAAACAAGAGAAGTTCTCCTTAGTTTTCCAACCATCATTTTTTTATTCACCCAGCCTTAAAGTCCTGACTATCAGTTCTGGGTCCTTGGCAATGACTGTTGGGTACAAACTGTGAAGCTCTGTCCTGAAGGTAGGACTGGGCTTTTGATTAGCCATGTCAATCAAAATCCAAGCCTAAAAGTCCTGATTATCAGTTCTGGGTCCCTGGCAATGACTGTTGGGTACAAACTGTGAAGCTTTGTTCTGCAGGGAGGGCTTGGCTTTTCATTGACCATGTGGATCAAATAGTTGTGTGGGCAAAGTGTGTCGTCTCAGCCACTATGTTTTCTGCACTTGTGAGTAGACAGCACCTCGATAGCTCAGTTGGTACAGCAGAGGACTGTAGGAAGTGCTGTGATCCAAAGGTCGCTGGTTCAACTCCCCATTTGTCCTTGTCTTCATCTGTGAACACCTCCAAAATGTCAAAACACAAACAAGAGAACTCCTCCTTAATTTTCCAACCATCAATTTTTTATTCACCCAGCCTTAAAGTCCTGACTATCAGTTCTGGGTCCTTGGCAATGACTGTTGGGTACAAACTGTGAAGCTCTGTTCTGAAGGTAGGACTGGGCTTTTGATTGGCCATGTCAATGAAAAGCCCAGCCTAAAAGTCCTGATTATCAGTTCTGGGTCCCTGGCAATGACTGTTGGATACAAACTACGAAGCTTTGTTCTGCAGGTAGGGCTGGGCTTTTCATTGACCATGTGGATCAAAAAGTTGTGTGGGCAAAGTGTGTCGTCTCAGCCACTATGTTTTCTGCACTTGTGAGTAGAGATCACCTCGATAGCTCAGTTGGTAGAGCAGAGGACTGTAGGAAGTTCTTCACATGAAGTGCTGTGATGCAAAGGTCGCTGGTTCAACTCCCCGCTTGTCCTTGTCTTCATCTGTGAACACCTCCAAAATGTCAAAATACAAACAAGAGAAGTCCTCCTTAGTTTTCCAACCATCAATATTTTATTTTCCCAGCCTTAAAGTCCTGACTATCAGTTCTGGGTCCTTGGCAATGACTGTTGGGTACAAACTGTGAAGCTCTGTTCTGAAGGTAGGACTGGGCTTTTGATTGGCCATGTCAATGAAAAGCCCAGCCTAAAAGTCCTGATTATCAGTTCTGGGTCCCTGGCAATGACTGTTGGATACAAACTGCGAAGCTTTGTTCTGCAGGTAGGGCTGGGCTTTTCATTGACCATGTGGATCAAAAAGTTGTGTGGGCAAAGTGTGTCGTCTCAGCCACTATGTTTTCTGCACTTGTGAGGAGAGAGCAACTCGATAGCTCAGTTGGTAGAGCAGAGGACTGTAGGAAGTTCTTCACATGAAGTGCTGTAATGCAAAGGTCGCTGGTTCAACTCCCCGCTTGTCCTTGTCTTCATCTGTGAACACCTCCAAAATGTCAAAACACAAACAAGAGAAGTTCTCCTTAGTTTTCCAACCATCATTTTTTTATTCACCCAGCCTTAAAGTCCTGACTATCAGTTCTGGGTCCTTGGCAATGACTGTTGGGTACAAACTGTGAAGCTCTGTTCTGAAGGTAGGACTGGGCTTTTGATTGGCCATGTCAATGAAAAGCCCAGCCTAAAAGTCCTGATTAACAGTTCTGGGTCCCTGGCAATGACTGTTGGGTACAAACTGCGAAGCTTTGTTCTGCAGGTAGGGCTGGGCTTTTCATTGACCATGTGGATCAAATAGTTGTGTGGGCAAAGTGTGTCGTCTCAGCCACTATGTTTTCTGCACTTGTGGGTAGAGAGCACCTCGATAGCTCAGTTGGTAGAGCAGAAGACTGTAGGAAGTTCCTCACATGAAGTGCTGTGATCCAAAGGTCGCTGGTTCAACTCCCCGCTTGTCTTCATCTGTGAACACCTCCAAAATGTCTAAACACAAACAAGAGAACTCCTCCTTAATTTTCCAACCATCAATTTTTTATTCACCCAGCCTTAAAGTCCTGACTATCAGTTCTGGGTCCTTGGCAATGACTGTTGGGTACAAACTGTGAAGCTCTGTCCTGAAGGTAGGACTGGGCTTTTGATTAGCCATGTCAATCAAAATCCAAGCCTAAAAGTCCTGATTATCAGTTCTGGGTCCCTGGCAATGACTGTTGGGTACAAACTGCGAAGCTTTGTTCTGCAGGTAGGGCTTGGCTTTTCATTGACCATGTGGATCAAATAGTTGTGTGGGCAAAGTGTGTCGTCTCAGCCACTATGTTTTCTGCACTTGTGAGTTGACAGCACCTCGATAGCTCAGTTGGTACAGCAGAGGACTGTAGGAAGTGCTGTGATCCAAAGGTCGCTGGTTCAACTCCCCATTTGTCCTTGTCTTCATCTGTGAACACCTCCAAAATGTCAAAACACAAACAAGAGAACTCCTCCTTAATTTTCCAACCATCAATTTTTTATTCACCCAGCCTTAAAGTCCTGACTATCAGTTCTGGGTCCTTGGCAATGACTGTCGGGTACAAACTGTGAAGCTCTGTTCTGAAGGTAGGACTGGGCTTTTGATTGGCCAGGTCAATCAAAAGCCAAGCCTAAAAGTCCTGATTATCAGTTCTGGGTCCCTGGTAATGACTGTTGGGTACAAACTGCGAAGCTTTGTTCTGCAGGTAGGGCTGGGCTTTTCATTGACCATGTGGATCAAATAGTTGTGTGGGCAAAGTGTGTCGTCTCAGCCACTATGTTTTCTGCACTGGTGAGTAGAGAGCACCTCGATAGTTCAGTTGGTAGAGCAGAGGACTTTAGCCAGTTCCTCACATGAAGTGCTGTGATCCAAAGGTCGCTGGTTCAACTCCTCGCTTGTCCTTGTCTTCATCTGTGAACACCTCCAAAATGTCAAACACACAAACAAGAGAACTCCTCCTTAATTTTCCAACCATCATTTTTTTATTCACCCAGCCTTAAAGTCCTGACTATCAGTTCTGGGTCCTTGGCAATGACTGTCGGGTACAAACTGTGAAGCTCTGTTCTGAAGGTAGGACTGGGCTTTTGATTGGCCATGTCAATCAAAAGCCAAGCCTAAAAGTCCTGATTATCAGTTCTGGGTCCCTGACAATGACTGTTGGGTACAAACTTTGAAGCTTTGTTCTGCAGGTAGGGCTTGGCTTTTCATTGACCATGTGGATCAAATAGTTGTGTGGGCAAAGTGTGTCGTCTAAGCCACTATGTTTTCTGCACTTGTGAGTAGAGAGCACCTCGATAGCTCAGTTGATAGAGCAGACGACTGTAGGAAGTTCCTCACATGAAGTGCTGTGATCCAAAGGTCGCTGGTTCAACTCCCCGCTTGTCTTCATCTGTGAACACCTCCAAAATGTCAAAACACAAACAAGAGAACTCCTCCTTAATTTTCCAACCAACAATTTTTTATTCACCCAGCCTTAAAGTCCTGACTATCAGTTCTGGGTCCTTGGCAATGACTGTCGGGTACAAACTGTGAAGCTCTGTTCTGAAGGTAGGACTGGGCTTTTGATTGGTCATGTCAATCAAAAGCCAAGCCTAAAAGTCCTGATTATCAGTTCTGGGTCCCTGGCAATGACTGTTGGGTACAAACTGTGAAGCTTTGTTCTTCAGGTAGGGCTGGGCTTTTCATTGACCATGTGGATCAAATAGCTGTGTGGGCAAAGTGTGTCGTCTCAGCCACTATGTTTTCTGCACTTGTGAGTGGAGAGCACCTCGATAGCTCAGTTGGTAGAGCAGAGGACTGTAGGAACTTCCTCACATGAGATCCAAAGGTCGCTGGTTCAACTCCCCGCTTGTCTTCATCTGTGAACACCTCCAAAATGTCAAAACACAAACAAGAGAACTCCTCCTTAATTTTCCAACCAACAATTTTTTATTCACCCAGCCTTAAAGTCCTGACTATCAGTTCTGGGTCCTTGGCAATGACTGTCGGGTACAAACTGTGAAGCTCTGTTCTGAAGGTAGGACTGGGCTTTTGATTGGTCATGTCAATCAAAATCCAAGCCTAAAAGTCCTGATTATCAGTTCTGGGTCCCTGGCAATGACTGTTGGGTACAAACTGCGAAGCTTTGTTCTGCAGGTAGGGCTTGGCTTTTCATTGACCATGTGGATCAAATAGTTGTGTGGGCAAAGTGTGTCGTCTCAGCCACTATGTTTTCTGCACTTGTGAGTAGAGAGCACCTCGATAGCTCAGTTGGTAGAGCAGAGGACTGTAGCAAGTTCCTCACATGAAGTGCTGTGATCCAAAGGTCGCTGGTTCAACTCCCCGCTTGTCCTTGTCTTCATCTGTGAACACCTCCAAAATGTCAAAACACAAACAAGAGAACTCCTCCTTAGTTTTCCAACCATCAATTTTTTATTCACCCAGCCTTAAAGTCCTGACTATCAGTTCTGGGTCCTTGGCAATGACTGTCGGGTACACACTGTGAAGCTCTGTTCTGAAGGTAGGACTGGGCTTTTGGTTAGCCATGTCATTAAAAAGCCAAGTTTAAAAGTCCTGATTATCAGTTCTGGGTCCCTGGCAATGACTGTTGGGTACAAACTGCGAACCTTTGTTCGTCAGGTAGGGCTGGGCTTTTCATTGACCATGTGGATCAAATAGTTGTGTGGGCAAAGTGTGTCGTCTCAGCCACTATGTTTTCTGCACTTGTTAGTAGAGAGCACCTCGATAGCTCAGTTGGTAGAGCAGAGGACTGTAGGAAGTGCTGTGATCCAAAGGTCGCTGGTTCAACTCCCCATTTGTCCTTGTCTTCATCTGTGAACACCTCCAAAATGTCAAAACACAAACAAGAGAACTCCTCCTTAATTTTCCAACCATCAATTTTTTATTCACCCAGCCTTAAAGTCCTGACTATCAGTTCTGGGTCCTTGGCAATGACTGTCGGGTACAAACTGTGAAGCTGACTATCAGTTCTGGGTCCTCGGCAGGTAGGACTGGGCTTTTGATTGGCCATGTCAATCAAAAGCCAAGCCTAAAAGTCCTGATTATCAGTTCTGGGTCCCTGGCAATGACTGTTGGGTACAAACTGCGAAGCTTTGTTCTGCAGGTAGGGCTGGGCTTTTCATTGACCATGTGGATCAAATAGTTGTGTGGGCAAAGTGTGTCGTCTCAGCCACTATGTTTTCTGCACTTGTGAGTAGAGAGCACTTCGATAGCTCAGTTGGTAGAGCAGACGACTGTAGGAAGTTCCTCACATTAAGTGCTTTGATCCAAAGGTCGCTGGTTCAACTCCCAGCTTGTCCTTCTTTTCATCTGTGAACACCTCCAAAATGTCAAAACACAAAAAAGAGAACTCCTCCTTAATTTTCCAACCATCAATTTTTTATTCACCCAGCCTTAAAGTCCTGACTATCAGTTCTGGGTCCTTGGCAATGACTGTCGGGTACAAATTGTGAAGCTCTGTTCTGAAGGTAGGACTGGGCTTTTGATTGGCCATGTCAATCGAATGCCAAACCTAAAAGTCCTGATTATCAGTTCTGGGTCCCTGGTAATGACTGTTGGGTACAAACTGCGAAGCTTTGTTCTGCAGGTAGGGCTGGGCTTTTCATTGACCATGTGGATCAAATAGTTGTGTGGGCAAAGTGTGTCGTCTCAGCCACTATGTTTTCTGCACTTGTGAGTAGAGAGCACCTTGATAGCTCAGTTGGTAGAGCAGAGGACTTTAGGAAGTTCCTCACATGAAGTGCTGTGATGCAAAGG